CATGGTATACAAGATACATGGACAAGTCTATACAGTACACGTACAAGGCTATTGACCAGTACATGTACAATGGTATACAAGTAGTATGTACCATGGTTTACAAAGTACATGTATCAGGTATACAAGTACATGTGCAGGTAATATATGTACATGTACAAGGCATACCAGTACATGTACAAGGTATGCTAGTACATGTACAAGGTATACCAGTACAATGTTCATGGTTTACCAGTACATGTACAAGGGATACAGAGTTACATGACAGGGTATACTGTAACATATACAAGGTATACCAGTTACATGTCAATTTAACAAGTACATGTACATTTGTTAAAGGAAATGTACAAGGTATTACAAGTACATTGATTACAAGGTCACTCCACAAGTACATGTACAAGGTTACAAGTTCATGAAAAGGTATGCAATATCTTAGTACAAGGTATACAAGCACATGTACAAGGTTATTACAAGATACATGTACAAGGTGTTGTACAAGTACATGTACAAGGTATAACAAGTACATGAACAAAGAGTTATACAAGTACATGTACAAGTTACTACAAGTATATGTAAGTTATAACATGTACATGACAAGGTATACCAAACAAACATCGTACAAAGGTTATACCGTACATGTAAAAGGGTATACGAGTATATGTACAAGGTATACACAGTACATGTACAAAGTTATACAAGTACATGTACTAGGTTATACCAGCACATTTTCAAGAGTATATACCAGTACATGTGCAAGGTATACCAATACATGTACAAGGTATACAAGTACTGTAAAAGGTAAACAAGTTACATGTACGAGGTATACCAGTAACATGTACAAGGCTATACAAAATACAGTCAAGGTATTCAAAGTACTCTTGTAAAGGTTTTACCAGTACTGGTGCAAGGTATACAAGTAGTGTACAAGGTATACAAGTACATGTACATGGTATAGACAAGTACATTTACAAGGTTTATACCAGTACATGTACATAGGTATACAAGTACATGTACAAGGTTACAAGTACATGTACAACAGGTTAATTCAAGTTACTTGTTCATGGTATACAAGTAAATGTATAAAGGTTTATACCAGTAATGTGCAAGGCATACAGTACATGTACTAGGTATGCAAATACATATACAAGGTATACAAGTACTGAGTACTAGTCGTATACAAGTACATGTACAAAGGTATAACCAGTACGTGTACAAGGGTATACCAGTACATGTACAAAGTATACAAGTACATGTACAAGGCATACATACAAGTTCATTGTACAAGGTATTCCATGGTAATGTTTACAAGGTTTTACCCAAGACATGTGACAAGGATCATGTACATTGTAAAAGGTATTCCAAGTACATGTACAAGGTATACAAGTACATGTACAAAGTATACAAGTACATGGATCAAGGTATACAAGTACATGTACAAGGTATTACAAGTACATTACAAGGGATACAAGTACATGTGCAAGGATATAACCAATACATGTACAAGGTATACAAGTACATGTTACATGGTATTACATGTTCCATGTACAAGGTATACAAGTACATGTACATGGTATAAAAGTGCATGTTCAAGGTATTCAAGTACATGTACAAGGTTTATCCAGTACATGTAACAAGTTATCCCAGTACATGTAACAAGAGGTTTACATGTACATTTCAAGGTATACATGTACTTGTACAGGTTATACAGTACCATGTACAAGGTATACAAGTTACATGTACAAGGTAGACAACTGTGCATTGTAAAAAGGTATATACCAGTACTTGTACAAGGTATCACAGTACATGTACAATGTAATGTGGTATCCTAGTACATGACAAAATGTTTACAAGTAAATGTTCAAGTTATGGCTAAGCAATCACTGCATGTACATAGGTTTACATGTACTTGTATAGGTTTCAATGTAATGTGGCAGTTATATATGTACTTGTACAGGCCTTTCCTGTACATGTACAAGGTAGAACAAGTACATGTACAAAGTATACCAGTACTGACAAGGTATACCAGTACATGTACAAAGGTTTATAAAGTACATGTACATAGGTATACCAGTACATGTACAAGGTATACAGTACATGTTACATAGTGTATATAAGTACGTGTACAAAGGTATACAAGTACTGAACAAGGTATACAAGTACATGTACAGGTATAAAGTACATGAACTAGTGCACAGTTAATGTACATAGGTATACAAGTACATTGTACAATGGCCTATACAACGTACTTGTTCAAGGTTATACAAGTACATGTACAAGGTATACATGTACATGTACAAGGTATACCTGTTCATGTACAAGGTATAACAATACAATGTACAAGGTTTACATGTAATGTACAGGTATACACAGTACATGTAATGTACCAGTACTATGTACAAGGTATACATGTACATGTACGAGGTTATACCTCTGTACATGTACTAGGTTACAAGTACATGTAAGGTATACCAGTACATGTAACAAGGTTTATACTACCAGTACATGTACAAGGGATATACAAGTACATGTAAACAGGTATAGCAGTAGATGTACAAGGTATACAAGTTACATGTAAAAGGTATACTGGTGCATTTACAAGTATACAAGTACTTGTAAAGGTATGCAAGTACATGTACAAGGTATACAAGTACATGTACCAAGGGTTATACAGGATCGTTAGTGGAAATCAGTGACATGATTACTATATAGAAAGTCGCTTGTTATGTGCAGCATTCCGCAAAATAGGTCAGTTTTGTCCCAGGGATGCGACCCACACCAGTCCATAATACCCAGGTAGAGACCCACAACCAGTTCCACTAACACCCAGGATGCGACAAACCCAGGGGATGCGACCCACACCAGTCCATAACACCCAGGATGCGGACCCCACACCAGTCCACTAACACCAAGTACCATTCTACTGATGGGTGAAGATTGCACGGCAAGTGTCTTTAAGAATACACACATCCTAATATTTTCCAGCGTAAGGGGATCGACCCCCCGGGACCACAGTGTACGAGTTAGCGCGGCTAGCAATTGTGCTTCAGGATACCAACGTAACACAGTGTTCTTGAAGATACAAGAGTGATGAAAAACTTGAAGGTGTATCAAGTAAGTCATTCACACACGACTCAAGAAATCGTAATGACTACGATTGGCAAACAAAAACCATACCCACCGGCCGGGGATGAAACCCGCGGTCAGAGAGTCTCAAAACTCCAGCCCGTCGCGTTAGCCACTAGACCAGCTAGCCACAGTGGTTTCTGTTCTAACCTTCCTATGGTGTAGAAATATACCTAGTTGGATGAATCTTATTGTGGCTAGCTGGTCTAGTGGCTAACGCGACGGGCTGGAGTTTTGAGACTCTCTGACCGCGGGTTCAATCCCGGCCGGGGGTATGGTTTATTTTCAATCGTGTCATTACGATTTCTTGAGTCATGTTGACGGCAGTGAAGGGACTTGAGCTAGAGTTCGTCACGGCCACGCTAGCTGGAGATTCGTCTGTAAAAACTTGCATTTGTGGTCACAGTGGTGGCCTGTGCTAACCTTCCTATGGTGTAGAAATATACCTAGTTGGATGAATCTTATTGTGGCTAGCTGGTCTAGTGGCTAACGCGACGGGCTGGAGTTTTGAGACTCTATGACCGCGGGTTCAATCCCAGCCGGGGGTATGGTTCATGACACGGATTCCAACGATTCCAGGAAAGAAAACGGGTACAACCTGGCAGTAAGATACATCAGTCATGAAATTCTGAAGGCGTTCAGAAGAGTTAGACTGAAATTTATGTAACGAGATTTGCAAGAAATACAAATTCCACACTATTTGACACATTTTAATTTCAAAGCGCCATTGAAGATTGAAACACTTACGCAGGATATGGGAATCTTTATTCAGGAAACGTTTCGCCACACAGTGGCTTCATCAGTCCAATACAAAGAGGAAGGCGTAAGGAGAGGAGGAGTGTGAGGTAATCAGTCCCTCAGCCTGGAGTCGATGTGTTCAGTCCATCAATCTTGATGGACTGATTGATGGACTGAACACATCGACTCCAGGCTGAGGGACTGATTACCTCACACTCCTCCTCTCCTTACGCCTTCCTCTTTGTATTGGACTGATGAAGCCACTGTGTGGCGAAACGTTTCCTGAATAAAGATTCCCATATGCTGCATAAGTGTCTCAATCTTCAACTTGTCGGTTTTTCAAACCATTCATCACCAAAGCGCCATCGTCGAGTTCTGTGGAAATTTTTCTTAAACGTTTGAAGCCACGTCACTGAGGGTATTTTGTGTTAGCTAAGACACATATGCAACAGTTAGGTATCTTTATTTCGAAACGTTTCGAAATAAAGATACCTAACTGTTGCATATGTGTCTTACCTAACAACCTGTCGGTATTTTATACCATTTTAATGTTCAAATAACTTTCTACTGTTTCCTCTCTCCTTCCTTGACAGTCTGAATATTTTTCTAAACGTTTTCAGTCTTCCAGAATTTTTCCCCAAACCTCTACTTCCCTCCTTTTATTTCTCTTACTCTTTGAAGCTTTTCGTCAATTTCCTACAGAGACTAATTACTATTAAATCATTTTCCCAATATTTTATGCATTTTTCAGATCAGTATATTATCACCCACCTCGTCCTCTCTGTTCTTCTATTTAGCATTTAAACTAAAACGTAAAGTTACATAAACTTTGATGAGATTAAGACACATGTGCAACATCTGGGTATCTTTATTGTAGACGTTTCGCCCTCCAGTGGCTTTATCAATACAAATTCTAGGACATAACTTGAAGACAGTAGAACTATGTACAGAAGATGAGGTAATCAGTCCCTCAACCTAGGAGTAGGTGCGAACAGCACCATAGTCGTGGAGATTCTGTACTGATAAAGCCACTGGATGGCGAAACGTCTACATTAAAGAAACCCAGATGTTGCACATGTGTCTTAATCTCATCTTGTCGGTATTATATACCATTCGTACACATACATAAACTTTAAACTTACCACATTGACCATTAAAGTCAACACGCAGATTTAGGTGAGGGTTCTTGCAAGTCTCAGCTTCCAGGTAGCAGGAATTGATGTAGGTCTTGCCATCGGTGCCACACACTGGATCGAACGTGGCAAAACACAGTTCCAGACACTGAGTCTTTATCACTGTGAAAATAGAAATGTTCTTATGAGTGGGAGGGGTTGGATTTGAGTGGGACTTGCACATCAGAGTGGGAGGGGTTGGATTTGAGTGGGACTTGCACATCAGAGTGGGAGGGGTTGGATTTGAGTGGGACTTGCACATCAAAGTGGGAAGGGTTGGATTTGAGTGGGACTTGCTCATCAGAGTGGGAGGGGTTGGATTTGAGTGGGACTTGCACATCAGAGTGGGAAGGGTTGGATTTGAGTGGGACTTGCACATCAGAGTGGGAGGGGTTGGATTTGAGTGGATCTTTTTAAAGTCACCCAATCTTTTTAAAGCCACCCAATCTTTTTAAAGTCACCCAATCTTTTTAAAGCCACCCAATCTTTTTAAAGTCACCCAATCTTTTTAAAGCCACCCAATCTTTTTAAAGTCACCCAATCTTTTTAAAGCCACCCAATCTTTTTAAAGCCACTCAATCTTTTTAAAGTCACCCAATCTTTTTAAAGCCACCCAATCTTTTTAAAGCCACCCAATCTTTTTAAAGTCACCCAATCTTTTTAAAGCCACCCAATCTTTTTAAAGCCACCCAATCTTTTAAAGTCACCCAATCTTTTTAAAGCCACCCAATCTTTTTAAAGCCACCCAATCTTTTTAAAGCCACCCAATCTTTTTAAAGCCACCCAATCTTTTTAAAGTCACCCAATCTTTTTAAAGCCACCCAATCTTTTTAAAGCCACCCAATCTTTTTAAAGCCACCCAATCTTTTCAAAGCCACCCAATCTTTTTAAAGCCACCCAATCTTTTTAAAGCCACCCAATCTTTTTAAAGTCACCCAATCTTTTTAAAGCCACCCAATCTTTTTAAAGTCACCCAATCTTTTTAAAGCCACCCAATCTTTTCAAAGCCACCCAATCTTTTTAAAGCCACCCAATCTTTTCAAAGCCACCCAATCTTTTTAAAGCCACCCAATCTTTTTAAAGCCACCCAAATATAGAAACTGCTTTAATTTTTAAACATCTTTTCTAAAAAAAATTAGATAAAACATAAAACTTAGATAAAACATAAAACTTAGATAAAACATAAAACTTAGATAAAACATAAAACTTAGATAAAACATAAAACTTAGATAAAACATAAAACTTAGATAAAACATAAAACTTAGATAAAACATAAAATGTTTGGCCAGCCAGTGAAACTGTTCAACAAACACTGGTAATTAGATGAACATTGATAAATTAGACACATGTGCAACTCTTGGGTATCTTTATTGAGGAAACGTTTCGCCACACAGTGGCTTCATCAGTCCACACAAAGGATAATCTTGAAGAACAGGAGGAGAATGAGGTAATCAGTCCCTCAACCTTGAGTCAATGTGTTCAGTCCATCAATCTTGAATAGAATACGGCAGATGAGCGGAGAAGCAGCTTATAAACCGTATGGCAGGAGAGGTGCAGCAGTCGTAGGTGGTGTCACATTTGTTCAATGTGGAAGTAGGTCGTGCCCAAGGTCGTGCCCAAGGTCGTGCCCAAGGGTTAGGCAAGTGAAGAATTCCCAAGTATTAAGATCCCAAGAAGTTGCAGTGTCTGACAGGTTTGTAGATGAATGGTTCAGAGAACCGACATGTTGATAAATTAGACACATGTGCAATTCTTGGGTATCTTTATTGACGAAACGTTTCGCCACACAGTGGCTTCATCAGTCCTTACATAGGAGAAACTTGAAGAACAGGTGGAGAGTGAGGTAATCAGTCCCTTAACCTGAACAAATGTTACACGACCTATGACTGCTGCACCTCTCCTACCAACGGTTTATAAGCTCCTTCTCAGCACGTATGTTGTATTCTATTCAAGATTGATGGACTGAACACATCGACTCAAGGTTGAGGGACTGATTACCTCATTCTCCTCCTATTCTTCAAGATTCTCCTTTGTATGGACTGATGAAGCCACTGTGTGGCGAAACGTTTCCTCAATAAAGATACCCAAGAGTTGCACATGTGTCTAATTTAGCAACATGTCGGTTCTGTGAACCATTCTAGATGAACATCAAAATGGTATAAAATACCGACAGGTTGTTAGGTAAGACACATATGCAACAGTTAGGTATCTTTATTTCGAAACAATATTGTTCCAGACAACGGAACAATGCTCTTCTCCAGACTGAGGGACTGACCACCTCAAAACTTTAAGGGTGATGGACTGATTACATCGTCTTCAAGTATCTTCTGCTTCTATCAACTTTTCTGTACTTGACTGAAGAAGCCTACTGTGTAGGCGAAACGTTTCATAATAAAGATACCTAACTGTTGCATATGTGTCTTACCTAACATACAAGTACATGTACAAGGTATACCAGTACATGTACAAGGTATACCAGTACATGTACAAGGCATACCAATACTTGTACAAGGTATACAAGTACATGTACAAGGTATACCAGTACATGTACAAGGCACACCAGTACTTGTACAAGGTATACAAGTACATGTACAAGGTATACAAGTACATGTACAAGGTATACAGACCATAGCTAACATCAGTGACTTACTACTATACAGAAAGCCGCTTGTTATGCTGAGCATTTCCCGCAAATTAGGTCAGTTTTGTCCCAGGATGTGACCCACACCAGTCCACTAACACCCAGGATGTGACCCACACCAGTCCACTAACACCCAGGATGTGACCCATACCAGTCCACTAACACCCAGGATGCGACCCACACCAGTCCACTAACACCCAGGATGCGACCCACACCAGTCCACTAACACCCAGGATGTGACCCACACCAGTCCACTAACACCCAGGATGCGACCCACACCAGTCCACTAACACCTAGGATGTGACCCACACCAGTCCACTAACACCCATGATGCCACCCACACCAGTCCACTAACACCCAGGATGCGACCCACACCAGTCCACTAACACCCAGGATGTGACCCACACCAGTCCACTAACACCCATGATGCCACCCACACCAGTCCACTAACACCCAGGATGCCACCCACACCAGTCCACTAACACCCAGGATGTGACCCATACCAGTCCACTAACACCAAGGATGCGACACACACCAGTCCACTAACACCCAGGTACCCATTTTACTGATTACCTGGAGTTTACCTGGAGAGAGTTCCGGGTGTCAACGCCCCCGCGGCCCGGTCTGTGACCAGGCCTCTTGGTGGATCAGAGCCTGATCAACCAGGCTGTTACTGCTGGCTGCACGCAAACCAACGTACGTGCCACAGCCCGGCTGGTCAGGTACCGACTTTAGGTGCTTGTCCAGTGCCAGCTTGAAGACTGCCAGGGGTCTGTTGGTAATCCCCCTTATGTATGCTGGGAGGCAGTTGAACAGTCTCGGGCCCCTGACACTTATTGTATGGTCTCTTAACGTGCTAGTGACACCCCTGCTTTTCATTAGGGGGATGTTGCATCGTCTGCCAAGTCTTTTGCTTTCTTAGTGAGTGATTTTCGTGTGCAAGTTCGGTACTAGTCCCTCTAGGATTTTCCAGGTGTATATAATCATGTATCTCTCCCGCCTGCGTTCCAGGGAATACAGGTTCAGGAACTTCAAGCGCTCCCAGTAACTGAGGTGTTTTATCTCCGTTATGCGTGCCGTGAAGGTTCTCTACATTTTCTAGGTCAGCAATTTCACCTGCCTTGAAAGGTGCTGTTAGTGTGCAGCAATATTCCAGCCTAGATAGAACAAGTGACCTGAAGAGTGTCATCATGGGCTTGGCATCCCTAGTTTTGAAGGTTCTCATTATCCATCCTGTCATTTTTCTAGCAGATGCGACTGATACAATGTTATGGTCCTTGAAGGTGAGATCCTCCGACATGATCACTCCCAGGTCTTTGACGTTGGCGTTTCGCTCTATTTTGTGGCCAGAATTTGTTTTGTACTCTGATGAAGATTTAATTTCCTCGTGTTTACCATGTCTGAGTAATTGAAATTTCTCATCGTTGAACTTCATATTGTTTTCTGCAGCCCACTGAAAGATTTGGTTGATGTCCTCCTGGAGCCTTGCAGTGTCTGCAATGGATGACACTGTCATGCAGATTCGGGTGTCATCTGCAAAGGAAGATACGGTGCTGTGGCTGATGTCCTTGTCTATGTCAGATATGAGGATGAGGAACAAGATGGGAGCTAGTACTGTGCCTTGTGGAACAGAGCTTTTCACGGTAGCTGCCTCGGACTTTACTCTGTTGACTACTACTCTCTGTGTTCTGTTAGTGAGGAAATTATAGATCCATCGACCAACTTTTCCTGTTATTCCTTTAGCACGCATTTCATGCGCTATTACGCCATGGTCACACTTGTCGAAGGCTTTTGCAAAGTCTGTATATATTACATCTGCATTATTTTTGTCTTCTAGTGCATCTAGGACCTTGTCGTAGTGATCCAATAGTTGAGACAGACAGGAGCGACCTGTTCTAAACTCATGTTGCCCTGGGTTGTGTAATTAATGGGTTTCTAGATGGGTGGTGATTTTGCTTCTTTTGACAATTTCAAAGACTTTTATGAAATGGGATGTTAGTGCTATCCGTCTGTAGTTCTTTGCTATTGCTTTACTGCCCCCTTAGTTGAGTGGGGCTATGTCTGTTGTTTTTAGTAACTGTGGGACGACCCCCGTGTCCATGCTCCCTCTCCATAGGACGGTAAAAGCTCGTGATAGGGGCTTCTTGCAGTTCTTGATGAACACGGAGTTCCATGAGTCTGGCCCTGGGGCAGAGTGTATGGGCATGTCATTTATCGCATGTTCCAAGTCATTTGGCGTCAGGATAACATCAGATAGGCTTGTGTTAACCAAATTCTGTGGCTCTCTTAAAAAACTCATTTTGATCTTCGACTCTCAGTCTGGTTAGCGGCTTGCTAAAAACTGAGTCATATTGGGACTTGAGTAGCTCACTCATTTCCTTGCTGTCATCTGTGTAGGACCCATCTTGTTTAAGTAGGGGCCCAATACTGGACGTTGTTCTCGACTTTGATTTGGCATAGGAGAAGAAATACTTTGGGTTTC